CCAGTTAACCATAGTTCAAACACTGGGCTGATTGTTACTTAGTATCACCTTCTTGTCAAGGTGAGTATATTGCTGCATTGAGATTGGGGTGCTGGTTATTATATATTTTGGAGTGTGAGGAAATCGTGAAATGATTTTATTTAAATAGGTGTTATTGAAAAAAGGTTTACATTTTTTGCAGGTATCCAGGTACGTCATGATCAAGGTGCTGGCTACATGCATCACAAATTTGCCATTGTAGATAAGAAGATGCTTATTACAGGTTCTCTCAACTGGACCACACAAGCCATTCAGAACAATAGAGAAAATGTTTTGATTGTGGAGGATGAAGAATATGTGAGACTTTTCTTGGAAGAATTTGAACGTATTTGGGAGGAGTTCAACCCTGTGAACTATACTTTTTTCCCTCAGAGAAAGTGAAGCAAAGTAAACCAAAGTCTTTCTCTGATGTTTTCCTTAGGTTATAGGTAAAACAACTTACAGTGAGGTCCTTTGGACAATTTGAAGATGAACCTCTTATACTTAATCTCATGCTGTAGTAAGTTGTATTGTGGCAAGGTTTCATCTAATGTGTTCATTGCTGTTCTGCAGTAAGAAAAACTTTATTGGCATTAATTTTTTGTAAACAAAGTAGATACCCATTGGTTTTTAACATTTTAATTCTTATTTGTTTACAAAAATCTATTGAACTACATTTCTGTGTTCAACTGAGATTTTCGATCTCCCTTATGGACATGCTTCTTTCCATATGATTAGTTAACTCAGCTCTAATAAGAGCTCATCCCTGATTGAGTCAGCAGTCTCTTGAAGTATTGACAGGCTTGAGTTGGAAGGATAAAAAGGAACAAGAGGAGAGAAAAAAGGTACATGTGGTGGTTGAATTTCTCCTGGACTGTAGTACTACTTATCCTTTGCTAGCACAGCAATCATTCCATATGGTAGAGGAGAGATAATTAAGTGCAACCTTGCAAGATATATTATTAAAATATATTTGTGTATAAGCAAACATTTCAGTCTTTTTTTTTTTTTTACTATGTTTACTAGAACATGATTTAGCTAATAGCAGTAAATAATAGGAGCCTGAAATAGGCTACTATTTAAGTTAGGTAGCTAATTTTTTTATAAACATTCTCACTTTTATTGTTGTTTTAGTTATTTTCAGTTGTGTCTGACTCTTTGTGACCCCTTTTGGGGTTTTCTTGCCAAAGTTACTGGAGTGGTTTGCCATTTCCTTCTCCAGCTCAGTACAGATGAAGAAACTGGGTAAAGTGACTTGCTTAGGGTCACACAGTAGGTGTCTGAGGCCAGGTTTAAACTCAGAAAGATGAGTCTTTCTAACTCCAGACCTGGCACTAAAGGACTAGCAAGAGCCTCTCTATTACACTGAAAAATGTGTGTGGGCTTGTGCTAAATACCTGTCTTGCTTTGGGTAACTATGAGTTTTCAAATAATCTTGGAGGCGTATTTTGAGAAGAGAGACAAAAGTTAGAAGCTTTTAGATTTTTATTCTATCTTCAATCCTTTATTTCTTTAGGCATAAAGGAGCCTTTCATTCTGTCCTGTGTACATACCATTCTAAGTTCCACAAATATTATTTTAAATTTATCTTTAATCTGTACTACACATGCAAATATCTAGAAAGAGTTTTCTAAAATTTTCCAGTAAAGTTCTAAAACATTCTAAATTATTTTCTCTACTCATATGTATGTTTATCTTATTTTAAGATACTCCAGTAGATCTTTGATCTCGTCAGTGTGTGTATATCATCAGTACAAATAGTGGCCCATCCACACCTTCTCACCCTCTGCAGTTCTTGTTTCTGTTATCACATAAACCCTTTATAGAGGATTTATGCAGCATGCTGGTGGCCTTTTTCTAGGTCTGTTTCATTTCATGGGTACCATTGCAGCACTTGAGCTGTCTTATCCGTTTATGCCACTTCTTAATTCTGTTGCCCTTTGGGTCAAACCCAAATTGTGATTATTTTAATATTGTGGTGTTCCAGTAATCAGATAGCAGGCCTGGTGGCACTGGTGTTAGAAAGTTGGTTGTTAGTGTCAGGGAGCAGTTTGGGTTTTGTTGAAAGCCTTGAATAGTTTTTCAGATACACTCCAATCTGTTCTTTCTCCAATACATCTGGCCCCCAGGTCATTGTCTTATCTGCAAAGTGCTTTGTTCCAGATGTGTATCAATATAATCTGGCCATCCAACTGCATATACTAGGCATTTTTCATCAGATTTTTCCTGTAGAAATTATTAGGATGACTGCTCTCTTTTCGATGGTAGATTTCATTGAGGAGGCTTCTCTTGCAAGTAGGACCATCCAAAAGCCCTAAACCATCTATAGGGCATTCTTCTTCCATTTGCTCTCTGCAGGACATCCTCCATGACAGTGTTAAATACTTTTGCCAGGTGATACATTTCTTTATGCCTCACTTGATATTAATAATCAGATAGTCATTGAATAGTTATGTCTGGTTGGATTTATCAACAATCTCATAGGAGCTTACCATTGCTGCTCATATGCATAAGAAATTCTTGGCAGAGAGCCTTTCTGAATGGATTTTGAGTTAAATAGATATTTTTAAAATAATCCACAGACATGATGGGATCTTTTTTTCCCCCTCTATACTTTCATTCAATTTTGATGTCTCTATTTTGGAAAGTATTTTTTAAAGAGCCTAACCAGTCCCTAGTCCCCTGTATTTTCATCAAGGATACTCTTGTTGAACAAGAAGATCATTACCAAGATTTTATAAAGATGAGAAAGTAGGCTTGTGGGTCAGTTTGTTTTCAACATCTTTTATTGTAGCACTATTTACTCTTAATTTTTTTTTTGCCATTCTTTTGTATTATGTTGTTTCTAGCAGAGATTTTTTTTTTTTCTGTGCATCTGGTATGGTCTAGCTGCTCTTCTCAACTTGATCTTTTTTTTTTTTTTTGGAGGGGCAGGGGAAGCAATCAGGGTTAAGTGACCTGTCCAGCGTCACACAGCTAGTAAGTGTCTGAGGCCAGATTTGAACTATTAAGTCCTCCTGACTCCAGGGTCAGTGCTCTGTGCATTTCAAATTTAAGTTGAGTACAAATGTGATGTTTCTATTGTTGATAAAATAGATTATAGGAACCCTGACAACTCTGCTTCATTTTCTCTTTGTCATAATTCTTCTAATTGGATCTCATGCCAACCTTTCTGCAGATTTGTTTTTGCTATTTTATGAGTCATTGCTCCTATAATGTTTTACAAATGAAATTATATTTTAAAGTAGTGTTGCCCTTGGCTGCTCTGTCTTTCCACACAGCAGAGCTCCAAAGTTTGCTGCTGGGTGTCTGGACTCTTTTGGTTTGTTTTTTGTGGTTACTGCTTTGCCAAGATTAAAGGGGTAAATTGTGAAAAGTTTACTATCTTTACCTTTTTCCATTTTCTTTTCATTGGTGTCATTCACCTTAAAGGGTCAAGTTGAAGCTCTTGTAATTGTATATGCAGTCTTTTTATCTTTATCCTTTTAATTTGATGTTGACTGTGACATCTCTTAATTCGTAACTAGTGGGCTGCCTGCATTGTTAGCTAATCTGATATAGATCCCATATCAGTAACCAGTCATTTCCTCTCAAGATATACTCACGTTTCATATTTTGTAATGTTTGGTTCTTGCCATGTCCATCAATTTTCAACTCTCTTACTGGAGAAAGAAGCTTGGATAGAAATTGTTTATACTCTACTGACATATTCATGATACTTAGGTGTTATATTCCATGAAAGCCTTTTGGCTCTTTCATTTCTAAATCCCAGACCGTATTTTCAACGTAGTCATTCATTGTTGGTTCACACAGAATCACAGATATTGAAGACCTCGATGGTCATCTAGTCTATCCCATATACAAAAGGAATACCCACTAGAACAACACAACAAATGGTTCTCTAGTCCCCTTTGAGACATCCAAGGAAGGGGAACATTCCGTTGCTTGAGGGAGCCCATTTCACTTTTGGACAGATGTAATTATTAGGAATTTTTTCCTAACATCAAGCTTAAATTTGCCTCTTTGCAACTTCCACTCATTGTTCCTAGGTTGGACCTCTGGGGCCAAACAGAGCAAGCATAAAATCTTCTCCATATCCCTTGAAATAATTGAAGGCAGCTATCATATCCCCAGTCTTCTCTTCTGCCATCTTAACATGCCCAGTTCCTTCAACCAATCTTTATATGTCATGATGATTCAAGGACCTTCCCAACCTTGGTTGCCCCCTTTTGGACACTATCTTCTCAATGTCCTTCTTAAACTATGTTGCCCAATATTGAACACGGTATTCTTTACGAGGCCTGATGAGGGTAACGTACAGTTAAGACTATCTCTCAATGCAAACAGAGATAATTATTAGTTTTTCTCGGCTGCCAGATCACATTACTGATGTGTATTGGGCTTGCAGTCTACAAAAATTCCCGGATCTTTTCCAGAACAAATGCTATCTAATAATGCCTCCCCCACCTTGGGAAGCAGATTTTTTTGTACCCAGGTGCCAGACTTTACATATATCCCTATTGAATTTCATCTTATGAGATTCAGCTCAATGCCTGCCAAGATCCTTTTGGATCCTGACTCTGTCATTCAGTGTGTTAGCTATCCATTGCAGTTTTGTGTCATCTGTAAACCTGAAAAAAGTCATTGATACTAAACAAACAACATGGATCCAAACAGATTCTCTGAAGAGAGTTACTGTGACCTGCTGTGGTGATGTTGAACTACTAACAGCTATTGTAAGTCCCAGTATTCCAAGCAGTTCTGAATCCATCTGTATTACCATATTATCATCTAACCCAAGTCCCTCCATCTTCTCCACAAAAATACTGTGAGATACTTTTTCAAAAGCTTTGCCAAAGATCTAGATTCCTGTTAAAAAAAGAAGTGAAATTACTCTGGCATGTGCTGTTCAGGATTAAGCCATGCTGGCTCTTTGTAATCGCTGCTTTACTTTTTACTCACGATCTCATTGAAGACATCAAGTATTAATTTGCCGTGGTTATACAACTATTCTGCCTGTAGGAGAACTATGAGCTCCTTAACCTATTATTTAAGGCCCTCCCCAGTCTAGCTTGAATTTATCTTTCGAGTGTGGATGATGGTTTTTCCCTAAACTTAAAATGCTTTCACTCACCACCACTCATTCTTACAGGCTATCTCTTAACACCTGTGATGTGCTTCCTTATTGTCACCTTTCAAAATCCTTCAAGGCTTGACTCAGTTCAGTTGTTAAATGGCTTCTGTGAAGCCATCCCTGATCCCAAGTTGTCACAGCTTTCTTCTTCAAATTTTCCTAGACCAATGTGTATGGATCTCTATTTTCTGTGTGTGCCCTTCCTCTGCATTACACCCCATCTTTTCCTTACTTTTTTGCATACATTTTGTATCCTCTAAGTAGACTG